TGATTGATTCAGCATATATGAAAATACTTCATAAACTAAAAAAGACCACATAAAAGCATGGATTATGGTTTCTATTCCCAATGACAGGAAATTTCAATTGAAGTTGTTTTCTCGGAATCAGCCTCTTTTTAGACAAATCAATACATCCAAAATAAAGCTTTCCTTCTACAAATCAATAAAACAATAAAACTTTTCCTTATTACAAAAATCAGCTCTCTACCTAACTTCATTTCCCCCAATTAATCATCCAATCAATCAAGGCATATTTACTAAGCCAGGCATTATACAAGGTACCAAGAGAATCCCCCTGCAAGAGTTTACAATATATGAAAATAACAAAAACCTCATATTCATAATATAACTGTTACATTTCAGGAATCACATGTGATGGTGGGTCAGAGAAAGGATGGATTAAATTTGACTTTGGAGTGAAAAGGTAAAAATCAAAAAAAGATTTCATGAAGAAGAGAATTAAAGATTAAATAGAAATGAACATTAAAGGGTAGAAACACTTCTCAAAGTAGAGATAATTCAAGAAACTAGAAGAAAGCATGCTCAAAGAAACAAAGCTAGCAACTCAGGGACATGTACAGAGAGCAAAGACATATAACACAGAGTGGCTTATTCCTGTGTATACGAAGGAAAGGAGACTGAAGCAAAATGATACAAGCCAGAAAATCTAAACATTTGGACTTATTGCTATTACCTAACTTCAGATTCATAGAGAGATTTATACGCTTAGATAACAAAATCAGGCTGCTAATATATCCCCACAACTGAAGCCTAATAGTATATATAGAAACGAATGATAATGATAGTACAACATATCAAAACTTTTGGGACACGGTAAAAGCGGTCATAAGAGGAAAGTTACAGGCCTATCTCCAAAAACAAGAATGAGCCCAAATAAACAACCTAATGCTTCATCTTAAAAAATTACAAAAGGAAGAACAAATGAAGCCTAAAGGCAGCAGAAGGAAAGAAATAATCAAAATTAGAGCAGAAAAAAATGAAATGAAAAAAAACAAAAAAAATAGAAAAAATAAATGCAACAAAGAGCTGGTTCTTTGAGAAAGTTAATAAAATTGACAAATCCCTAGCTAGACTCACTAAAGAAAAAAGAGAAAGGATCCAAATAAACAAAATCAGGGATGAAAGAGGGGAAATTACAACTGACGTCGCAGAAATACAAAGGATCATACAAGAATACTATGAAAAAGTATATAACACCAAATTTAATAACCTAGAAGAAAGGGACCAGTACTTAGAAAAATAC